ATCTTTGGGGTTCCTTCAGCTCCTAGATTCTACAGATAATGAAAGGGTGAGCAGAGGGGAGCCTCCTTCATTCTACATTCCATATTTAGCTCCTTCTGAAGCCAGAAGAACAAAGATAGGTGGGGAAGTCTGTTCTCGCTGTCTTGGGCCTCACTGGGGGGCATCATATTGCTGAATCCACCTCAGTCCAGGATCTTGTCCTAGGAAGAGACCTTCTGCTTTGGGGAAGAAGGGTAGAGGTACACTAACCAAACCAAGGAGCTAATTTATGAAGTGACAGTGAGCAATATAACAGCAAGGGCACCAAGCATTTCTACCCCTAAGCCTGGACTTCCCACCCTTGGGTACTTCTGTCGAAAGCAGATAGTGTTTACAAAATTAAAACTTTTAGGGGTGCCTGGCTGGCTCAGATAGTTAAGCAGCCAACTCTTGATTTTGGCTCAGGTCATGATCTCAGGGTGGTGAGCTCAAGCCGAGCCGCACATGGGGCTCTGTGCTCAGTGAGGAGTCCGCTTGTCCCTCTCCCTCCTCTCGTTCTCCACCCACCGCCCCCTCCTGCACTCTGTCCTGTTGCCTCTCTCTAAAATAAGTGAATAGATAAAATCTTTTTTTTTTAAAGATTTATTTATTTATTTGAGAGAGAGAATGAGATAGAGAGAGAGAACATGAGAGAGGGGAGGGTGAGAGGGAGAAGCAGACTCCCTGCCGAGCAGGGAGCCCGATGCGGGACTCGATCCCGGGACTCCAGGATCATGACCTGAGCTGAAGGCAGTGGCTTAACCGACTGAGCCACCCAGGCGCCCTAGATAAAATCTTTAAAAAAACAAAAAACAAAAAAACCCTAAAAGTTTTAGGGGTGCCTGGGTGGCTCAGTCGGTTAAGTGCCCAACTCATGATTTTGGCTGGGGACATGATCTCAGGGGCTGTGAGATGGAGCCGGTGTCCGGCTCTGCACTGGGCATGGAGCCTCCTTGAGATTCTCTCTCCCTCTCCCCCTGCCCCTCGCCCCCCCCAAAATTTTAAAGATAACAAACTTTTAGAGGCATCTGGCTGGCTCAGTCACAGTAAAGCATGCGATTCTTTTTTTTTTTTTTTTTTTTTAAGATTTTATTTATTTGACAGAGAAGGAGAGAGCGCACACGAGCAGAGGGAGAGGGAGAAGCAGACTCCCCACCGAGCAGGGAGCCTGATGCAGGTCTCTCCATCCCAGGACCCTGGGATCACAACCCGAGCCAAAGGCAGACGCCTAACTACTGAGCCACCCAGGCGCCCCAAAGCATGCAATTCTTGATCTCAGGATTGTGAGTTCCAGCCCCATGTTTGGTGCAGAGATTACTTAAAAATAAAATCTTTTTTAAAAAAAATTGAGATTTTTATTTTTATGTTTATTCATTATTTAAATTTTTGGGGGGGTGATGGTGGGTTTCAAACAGGGTCCTGAAACAGTAAATAGTGCTTAGCAGCCTGCCTGTCGGTGAAGAATTGGGAGGAAAGGGCCGACCTCGCCTTAGCCGACTCAGGGAAAAGCTTCATGCGTTACCTCCACGACAGGGGAACGCCTGCCTCCAGGTGGGCAGATGATCCGCTGGGCCAGAACTGCTCCTGGACTTGGGTGGCCAGACTAGCATTATCCCCAGATACACCCTATTCCTGCCTTTCCTGGCTGACGAGGGCCTCCTGCAGCGGACAATCCTTCTTTAGATATGCTGATACCTTCCTTCACTTGGGGACGGTCCAGTCCGAGGCGCTGAGCTCTGTGTGGACTGGGAAGTTTTCTTTCCTTTCTCTCCAGCTTAGGTGGCTGTGGAGTGGGCGATCTTACTGCCCCCCGCTCTGCTGGCCCCTCCCCGGTCCTCCTGAGGCCGGGCTTAAGGGGCTGGGGGGCTGGGAGGGCCTTTTCCCGCCAGGGGGTCGCCCAGAGGGCTGGCTCTTCCCGCCGGCGAGAAGGGCTGATTCCGATTGCCCCGCAGAGCCCTCCCCGAGGCCGCGAGCCCAGCAGGGGCGTGTCCCCGCGCTCACCTGCCATTGGGCAGGTGGGGCGGCCGGCCTCTGCCAGGGCCGTACTCCATAAATGCGGAGCGGCCCGGCCGCCGAGCCAGGCGCGCGGCAGGATGGTGGACAGCGTGTACCGTACCCGCTCCCTGGGGGTGGCGGCCGAGGGGCTACCGGACCAGTACGCGGACGGAGAGGCGGCGCGCGTGTGGCAGCTCTACATCGGGGACACCCGCAGCCGCACGGCCGAGTACAAGGCCTGGCTGCTCGGGCTGCTGCGCCAGCACGGCTGCCAGCGGGTGCTCGACGTGGCCTGCGGCACCGGGTGAGCCGGGGCGGGGGTGGGGGGCGGCGGATGGCCGCGGGTGGGGGAGCAGCCTCCACCGGCGACCCGCAGCCGGCGGGGGCGGGGGGCCCGCGGGGTAGAGCGGGCGGGAGGCAGGGCCGAGGACACCCAGGGTGCGAGGGGGCTGTGGGCACCGCAGGGTGGGGACTCAGGGTGGGGACGGCCGGCTCCTCGGGGCGACGCGTAGGCCGGGCTTTGCGGCCAGACCCACGAAGCTCTCACGGGCCCCAGCTCTGGCATTGCTCCCCAGTGATGGCCTTGGGCAGTGTTAACAGTTAACATTCGTTCAATATTTGCCCGCGCCACGCGCTGTGCCAGGAGCTGTCTTTACACCAATTTTTAAGGTCCTTACAAAACCTCACGAGGTAAGGAGTGATATCCCATTTACGGCTGTCAAAAACCTGCTTCAGAGGGGCGAAGGCCCTCTACCTAGCGGAGAGGAGACTCAGACCCGCGCTGGTTAGGGTCAGGCTATACTACCTTCCCGAGCGCGGGTTCCTCCATCCCAGAGGCCGCAGGCTGCCTCATCTCTCAAAGCGGGGCTAACACCGCCTACCGCACAGGGTTGCCACGAGGGTTAGTGCGCACTGATAGAGTGCCTGGCTCTGAACGGGTGCTAAAAAAACAAAACCAAAAAGTTGCTACCTGGTGGTAAGGCACCGACGTGAGGTACCTCGTTTGAGGTCAGTGGAGAGGGCCTGGGGCGAGGAAGAAGAGGAATGGACTCAAGATGGAAGTGTCCAGCACAGGGCCTCTTCCTTGCCTTCCCAGGCCCCCTGACTGCCCCTCTCTGCCTCTCCCCTCCGGCCCTGCCCAGGGTGGATTCCATCATGCTGGTGGAAGAGGGCTTCAGCGTGACCAGCGTGGACGCCAGTGACAAGATGCTCAAGTACGCGCTTAAAGAGCGCTGGAACCGGCGGCACGAGCCAGCCTTCGACAAGTGGGGTACGCAGGTCCAGTCAGGCCCTCCCTGCCCATCACCCTGGGCCGTGGTGCTCCCCGCCCTGGGCTCCTTTAGCTCCTGTGCCGGGGTGCTTGTTTTCCTTAAGGGAACAGCAAAATTACTTTCCCTGGAAAGGGAGGCTTAGGCACCAGAATGAGGTATCTGGTAATGCGGGGCTAGTTTTAATGATGTCTGTAGTGTCTTCTCCCTTTTCCCAAATAAAAACCGGTAAGCGCAGGGCCTTTCTTCTCAATCACAGCTTCCTCCCCCCTTGACCCCTCCTTCCCTTCACGCTCCATATCCGTAATCCCCTCCCCCAACTGGATGGGGAGTCCCCACGTGTCTTTAAGGGGAAACTGAGGCAGGGCTGCACTTGGTGGAGGTGGGTACTGCTGGGGCCGTGGTGCCATCCTGACCCCTCTTCCCCTTCCTGGTCCCAGTCATCGAAGAAGCCAACTGGATGACTCTGGACAAAGATGTGCCCCAGCCACCAGGGGGTGGCTTCGATGCTGTCATCTGCCTTGGAAACAGTTTTGCCCACCTGCCAGACTGCAAAGGTGAGACAGGGTGTGGCCTGGAGCCTGGCCCTTGCTTTGAACTATACCTCTTTCCACAGACCCCCTAGGTGCCCGCTCTCCTGCCAGAGCAGACTCTCGTTTTCTGCTCCTCTCTGCCTTGGCATCAGTATCCCCAGGGAGGAGAAAGCTGGGAGGGAGGCTGGAGCTCGGGGCCCTCAGCAGACGCAGCCTCTCTGCCCCTGCCCGGAGCTCAGGAGACCAGAGCGAGCACCGGCTGGCGCTGAAGAACATCGCGAGCATGGTGCGGCCAGGGGGCCTGCTGGTCATCGATCATCGCAACTACGACCACATCCTCAGCACAGGCTGTGCACCCCCAGGAAAGAACATCTACTATAAGGTGGGGTCCCTGGGGGTGGGAGGCCCAGAATGGGGGATGTGATCCCGGGGTCCAGGCCGCGTGGGGGTTGCAGAGGTTAATGCCGCCTGCACCACCGCCTACAGAGTGACTTGACCAAGGACATCACGACATCTGTGCTGACAGTGAACAACAAAGCCCACATGGTGACCCTGGACTATACAGTGCAGGTGCCGGGGGCTGGCCAGGATGGTTCTCCCGGCTTGAGGTACCCACTGGGCTCGGCAGGGGGTGAAGGGGGGTAGTGCTGAGGCCACCAGTCCTCATGGCTGCTTGGGGGCTCTGTTGCAGTAAGTTCCGGCTCTCCTACTACCCACACTGTTTGGCTTCCTTCACGGAGTTGCTCCGAGCAGCCTTCGGGGGCAAGTGCCAGCACAGCGTCCTGGGCGACTTCAAGCCTTACAAGCCGGGCCAGGCCTACATTCCTTGCTATTTCATCCATGTGCTCAAGAGGACGGACTGAGCGCTGACTGTGGCCTCAGCTCCTACAACCCTCTGCCCAGGCACTGCCAGATCTGGCTGGGGAGGTGGGGGCTAGCAGCCCCATACCAAGGCCAGCCCCCAGCACAGATCCTGGGGTGTGGGGAGGGGCAGACCGCTGCTGCGGGTGCAGGGATTTGGGTTCAGGCAAATGGAAGTGTGAGCAATACAGTCTGTGCCTTTTTCAGTCCCCGCATGCCTTGTGTTTCTGTCAAAAGGCTCCAGCTCCCCGAGGTGCCCTCCCCTGGGGCTTACTCCTTCCACAAGCTTGCTCTTCCACGCTCCAGCCTTTCAGACCACAACCAGCAGGGGGCAGCATATACTTTATTTTCAGCCAAGACTCGGGGGTGGGGGTGGGGAGCAATCCCCAGAGCTCCATCCAGGCCCAAGTTCCTCCTCCTGAGCAGAGGGTCTTTAGTCTTGGAGCCGGAGCTGGCCTGGAAGGACAAACAGGTAGGCAGGGGATGACGCCCTCTGAGCTCTTGTGGGGCTACTCAGCACCGAGGGGGTCTCCTGGAGTTAGGCAGCCTTTGGGTGCAACAGCAGTATGCAGAGAAGGAGCCCTTTGCTCTCGGGCGTCTGTGGGAATAACCTAAGTACCTTCAGCCCTTGCGGGCAGGGTCCCGGATCGCGGGAGGCTCCTAGCAGGCGGCAAACTTGCGTTGGATGCGCTTGTACCGCAGCAGTTCCTGCTCGCTGACCGAGGGCTGCAGCCGGGCAGCAGCCTGCAGCAGGTCCTCCATGGTGAGGAGCAGTGCCGCGCTCCCAGGCTCCAGCCCTGGGGGGTGGCAAGGGGGCAACAGAGGCTGTGGTCTGCGTCCGAGGAGGGGAAGGCCCTGGGGTGGGCATCTGCTTGCCCAGAGGCCCCCAAATGTCAACAGTTCCTCCTCTGATATCCAGGAGCAGGCCTGGTTCCCGTTAGCTTTCTGAGTGACCTCCGGGGCTGGCAAACAGCTCACCTTCCTCCAGGTCCCGGAGCCTGCGTTTGAGGGCAGCTGTCATGGCATCAGAGCAGAGGGAATAGAGGTCTGCACCCGTCAGCTGGGGAGGGCAGCGATCCAGCACGTTCACCAAGCTCACAGAGGGCTCTAGCTTGAATCTGTTGCACAGATAGAGGAAAGAAACGGTTTAGTCTGTCAAAAGGCATCCCTGACCAGCTTATTCTGCATGTTGCATTTATCCCCCTAACCATCCCAAGGCCCAAGCCCCTTGGGAGTCCCCCCCTAATGGGGCATACTTGCGTGTGATGGCACTTAGAACACGTAGCTGGGAGGCGCGGTCCTCGCTCACCCCCACAAACACCAGCTTGTCAAATCTTTAGGGAAAGAGGCAGGCATAAGTGTCAGGGAGCCCAGCGTGACGGTGGAGGAGGCACAGGATGGGGGTAAAGGGCCAGGCCCAGAAGGGCGCAGTAGAGGTGAGAGGTACGGGGCGCACACCTGCCAGGCCTCAGAAGGGCAGGGTCCAGGAGGTCTGGTCTGTTGGTGGCTCCAATCACAAACACATCCTGAGTGCTGTGAAGCCCATCCAGCTCAGCCAGGAGCTGAGACACCACCCTGCAAGCGAGGACATGGAGGCCAGAGAGTCCTTGGCCCTTCCCCAGCCTCTGCCCTACCTGTGGGGCCCCTCCTTGCAGGCCTTCTCCACGGGGCTGCCTGTGTGGTTGTGCCCTGTAGACCCCTCCACGCAGGCCCCCCTGTTCTCAGTGTTCCCCACCTGACTCCACGGCACCCCCCTTCTGCTGTTACACTGTTTCGGAACTGGAATGGCAGGAACTCTTTGGGCTCTGAAGACTGCTGCAACCTGTCTCCCATCCCTCCGTCTTGGACCCCAGACTCCAATCTGGCTCAGACCCCCACCTGTCCATCACACCTCCAGAGTCTCCACTTCGCCCCCGGCTTGGGGCCAGCGAGTCCAGCTCATCAAAGAAGATAATGCACGGAGCCGCAGCCCTGGCCCTGGCAAACACTGAGGAGAGGAAGGGACCCACAGGAGGGGGAAGCTCAGGGGGGATCTGAAGTCAGGCGATGGAGGAGGGGAAGCCAGGAGTGACAATTCACCACTCCAGGCACTAGGCCACCCTGGGCAGGTCCTCTGGAGAAAGGACCACGAGACGGTGGAAAGACCAGGAGCCACCGGGGGGTGGGCAGCACAAGGGCCCAAGGGTTTGGCAAGGGCTAGAAGCCTGGCCCCTCCTCACTCACCTTCTCGCACGTTCTCCTCACTCTGACCCACGTACATGTTGATGAGCTCAGGCCCCTTCACGCTGAGGGAGAGGATGAGACTCGTCAGATGCATAAACACAAACTGACCTGCCAGCCAGCCCCGCCTGCTCCCCAGCCTGCTGCAGCTCCCAGTCTGCCCACCACCCCTTCCACACCCCCTCGCCACCTGAGGAAGGTGAGGCAGCATTCAGTGGCTACTGCCTTGGCCAGGAGGGTCTTGCCCGTGCCGGGGGGACCATGGAGCAGAAGACCTGAGCGCCTGAGGCCCAGGCTCAGCAGCTCAGGGTGCTCTAGAGGGAGCTGAATGGTCTCCAGAATCTCCTTCTTCACCTCCTGCAGCCCGCCCACATCATGCCAGGACACTGAGGGGATCTAGGAGATGGACAGTGTGTGGTTGGGGACAGGGTGGTGGAAAGAGCTCCTGTCCTACCTCGGAGGACTTGGAGTCTCTACCTTGGGGGCTCCAATGGCCTGGGAGTGGGCTGTCTGCATCTGCTCAAGTGCCTGCCCGAAATCCTCAGCCAGGAGAGGAAAGCCGGCAGCACAGAGCTCCCCCTCCTCCTCCTCACTCAAGCCACCTGCCAGCCTGCAAAGACAAACCCAGGGAGACCTCTGGGGGACCTCACCGAAAGCCTCCTCCCCATCAGGCTCCTGGCTCCTCCTCCCCCCACCCCAGCCCCACCCGTATTTCCTCTGGCCTCCTTTTCCCTCCTGTGCCCAGTTTCCTCACCCCGAGTTCTTGACCCTGGTGCAGGCTGCCCGGGCGCTGTAGGTCAAAAGGGCATAGAGATCCCCTACGACGAAGCCCTGGGGAACCACAGCAGAGGGCACGTGAGCAGGGCACAGTGGGCAGGGACCCTCAGGGGGCCGGTCCCCCAGTGGGATTAGCGGCCCAGGGTTGAAGCCCCCACGGGCAGGGCAGCAGGACTGGGGGGGGTCCCCTGCCTCGGCACTCACCGCACACCGCCGCGCCAGCTGCGTCAGGTTCACCTCTTGGCCCAGAGGGAGGTGGGCGGTGAGGGCCCGCAGGACACTGAGCCGCTGCCCCTCTGACAACACGGGCACCTCCAGCTCGTGAGGGAACGCTGTCTGCACGTCGGCGGGCATGTCCCGGGCCTGGCTTGCGGTGGCCACGACCATCAGGGGCGGGCAGCTGCAGACACAGAGGGGTGCTGAGGGCCAGAGTGCGGCTGGCGGCCCCTGAGTGCTGTCTCGTCACGAGGCAGGGAGGTGGGTGGGTGCGGGCATGGGGGAGGGAGGTGAGCGCCCCAAAACTTCCTGCCTGGGGCTCCATCGGCACACCTCGAGAGGGGGACCTGTGCCCCTCCACACACACACACAGGGAGCTCCCCGAGGGTAGAGACTGTGCTTTTTCTCTGACGTAGTGCTCCCCACGAAATACTAGGGACTGCACCCCCCGCCCCTCTGGATACCCCAAGCTCCTCAGCTCAGGACTGTCTGGAGGACAGCCCAACGGGCGGGATGTCTGAGGAGCCACTGAGGAGGAGGGGACAAAGGCTGCAGAGAGGTGGGGGCCTGCCCTTTCACAGACCCAGCTCTGTGCCATACCTGGCGAGGGGTTCCTCATCAAGGAGGAGCTGACGCAGCGTGGCCACCACGCGGGCATCCTCACCTAGCCCATCACGGTCCCGGCCCAGAAGGTCCACGGCTGTCAGCAACAGAACCACAGGCCGGCAGCGCCGGGCCCGGGAGAAGACAGCCCGCAGCTTCGTCTCCACAGCCCCGCTGCTGTCTGCACAGAGGCTAGAGCAGGACACCTGGGGACGGGGCCCCAGTGGTCTGTGAGCAAAGGGCAGGTGTGACGGAGGCAGGAAGGGCAGGGAGAGGGGCCAGAAGATGCAGGCCACCTTGTTTTAGAGGGCAGAGATGGGGGGCAGTAGCACCGGCTAAGTCCTACCTCCTCTTTACCCCAACCTCACTCCCTGGACTGCCCATCACAGTCTTCAAACCCCTTCCTTTTTGAAAGCATCTTTTCGGGGCGCCTGGGTGGCTCAGTCGTTAAAGAGTCTGCCTTCGGGGGCGCCTGGGTGGCTCAGTTGGTTAAGCGTCTGCCTTGGGCTCAGGTCATGATCCCAGGGTCCTGGGATCGAGCCCCGCCTCGGGCTCCCTACTCGGCAGGGAGCCTGCTTCTCCCTCTCCCGCTCCCCCTGCTTGTGTTCCTGCTCTCACTATCTCTCTGTCAAGTAAATAAAAAAAAAATCTTTAAAAAAGCAAGCAAGCGGCAAGCAAGCATCTTTTTGTAGCTGAGAATCACGGGAATACGTCTGACCTACTCCGGTGCCGGGGCCAGGCTGGTGGCCAGAAGGGGGAGGGGAGAGGGAGAATCTGGGCTTCACCTCACCAGGTACCCTCACCTTCAGCAGGTGGAGCCCAAGGCGGCTGCAGGCTGCAGTGACAGCTGTGGTTTTGCCACTGCCGGGGGGACCCCGGAGAAGGACACTGCTGGTTCCTGTCAACAGGGCACCTCTGCAACCAGAGAGCAGACACTTGTCCTCTCCATTCTGCTCAAACTGAAGAGCCCTCAGGAACAGAGGGACCCGTGGATAGAGAAAGCAGGCACTCTCTCTCTCCTGGCGGCCTCCCTCCTCCTCCAGGGCTGGTGCCGTAGCTCGCCTACCACCTGGGGTGCCCTGGCAGGGGTGCGGAGCGCATCCAGCAGCCGGGACAGTTCCCTTTCTCATCACTGCCTTCAGTAAAGCCTTGACTGCTATGTCTGGTCTGGATCATATGGAGAGGAATTAGGGGAGGGTCTGTGTCTACACGTAGGCCAGTGGTATGAGGAACGTTAGCTTTTGGGGCAAGGGTGGTGAAGGCCAGAATGGCTAGTGGGCTCCCCAAGGGGAAGGGCAGTCTCAGAGATAGCTGTCCCTGGTGGAGATTCTTCTTCCACAGCCAACCTTGAAGGCTGGAGGTTATCCCCAGAAAGGAGCCTAGGAATTTGCTTACAGGAAGGACATGGGCTAGCGGCCTGGGCATACTGGTTTGAGGGAGGTCCACCAACCCGACACTGGCGAGCGCATTAGGAACTGCTTGTCCGGCCCACTGCCTGTCTGGAGATGTTCCGAGCAGGCCTCTCCCCCGCACTGAGGCTGCGGCCTCACTCACCCTGGCTGGAGGCGAGGCTTCAGGGCAGCACAGAGCTCAGTCACCAAGGTCTCCAGGCCTGGAGGAGACAAGCTATTCCAGGGAGTGGATTCTCCTGAAGCGAGCCTTGGGACAGGGCTCAGGGTAGAGCCCACCTGTGAAAGGTGGGAGGAAGCTTTAGTGTCTGGAAGCTGTTTCTGTTCCCTTTCCCAGGTCTAGTCCCATCCCCAAGGCCTCACCAAGTACAAAGAGGTATGAGTGGTGTCTGCCAAGTAGGCGCTGGTTGGCCCATCCGGAGCTTCCCCAACAGTTTTCTTCACTTTAAAAAACATCTCCCGCCACCTGCAGGAAAGAAGCCCAATGAGCTGCAGACCCAGAGCCCACATACACCCCTCCCTAAGGATGAGGTGGCTGTCTCAATCAGAGAGGTCGACCACAGGGACAAACTCAAGAGCAGCATGAATAACTGCTCCTAGACATGGCAGGGGGTGAGGAAGGGGAGGGGAGGAGGGGTGAAAAAGAGCACATGGCTCCGACACATTTTGAGGGCAGGAGCTATAACTGTCCTCCACATCCCTCATGACAACCATCAGAGTGTTGGGATGTGTTTCTCCAGGTAAGCCTTCCCGCCCATTGCAGTGGGAGAAGCCACAGCTGCGCTAAGCAATGATCATCGGACCATTTTCACTGGCTTCAGAATACAGTCTTCCCTTCCAATTCATACCTCCCAAGGCCTTCCAACACCTCAGCAGGAAGAGTCCCTTGGCTCTTATCCAATAATCCACAAAATCGAATTGCAGATTCCTTATTAAAGACATCTAATGATTAATTCTCTATTTGGCTGCACATTAGAATTACCTGTGAGACTTTTGAAAAGCAACATCTCCCACATATTGTATGATTCCATTCAGCAGATTGGTAATTGCTGGGGGCTGAGGGAAGGAGGGAGTAGGGAGGGACTGCTAATGGAAAAGGGTTTTGGGGGGATGAAAATGTTCTGGAATTCAATAGTGGTGTTGGTTGCATAACCTTATGAATATAGTAAAAGCCTCTGAATTGTACACATTAAAAGTGAATTAGATCTCAATTTTTAAAAAAGCAACTCTACACCCAATGTGGGGCTCAAACTCGTGACCCTGAGATCAAGAGTTACATGCTCTACTAAGCCAGCCAGGCACCTCAATTTTTTAAATTAGCATTTTTCTCTCCTTTCTAAAAAATGAAAAGATTGCACAGGCCCCAGCCTCACCTTGACTCTGCTCTAATAGGTTTGGGGTGGGGCCCAGGCATCTGCATTTTTTGAAAGCTCCCCCAGCCGTAACAGGGCTATGCGTTCACTGGCTAGTCTCAGAGTGAGCTGGGGCTACTCAACTTACGAAGGGAGAAGAGAGTGGGGAACAGGTAGTAGTGACTAGCCCAATCTTCTAGAAAGGAAATGATGAACTACTCCCCTCTTTAATCCTCAGGTGGAAAGGCAATGACTTGGCCCAGACTATAACTTGGGCCTTTTTAAGTTCCAGCCGGTGCAAATTCCTTTGTTCACATTGTCTCATTCATAAAGCTGCTTACTCTGGCAGCAAAGTGGGGTGTGTGGGAATAACTCCCGGTGGAGGGGAGAAGCATACCAGATTGGTATTATGAATTCTCACAATTATTAGGGTAGGCAGTTATCGTGATAAAAAGTGGAACATAAGGAAGCCTGTGTCTTACTGTTATTCAGTATAAATGAACAGTGGGTACTTCTATCCAACTGGTAGAAATCTACCAGGCCTCACCATTTTACATGGAACCTGGCATCTCGATCCTGAGTCACAGTGTACATGGTGAGCAGTGGAATCCAAGGAAGAACAGCACTGTGGGAGGTTAGGGGGAAGTGCCCTCTCCATGGACAGCAGTAGGACCATCTCGGTAAGTACAAGGATCAGACCTCTTGAACACATCTGGATATTGCTGGGGAAAGCTGGGTTGTGTTCTCAAGAGCCAGATGGGAGACAGTGGAGTGGAATCCTGCTGGCTTGCTTGAGAGAGGGGAACCGTGGAAGAAGTTGCAGAGGCTACCCCACCATTGGAATTCCATTCCAGGGATCATAGGAGCCTCCTAGCAAGGCCTCCCTGACCAGGTCTGGGGGAAGAGGGCTAAAGCACCCATCTCTGTCTGTCCTTGGACCCACCTGCCCACCTGAACCTCACTTTCCAGGACCCTGCTCAGGAGGAGGAACTGTGTGCTTAGCACCCAGAGGAGGGAAGCAGGTCTCTACAGGGCTGGAACAGCAGAGATCCAGGAACAGAACAGGCTTGCTCGTCTGTCTCAGAAGGGCCCAGTGCCTGGGTATTCTGTAGTTTTCCCACACAAAGCTAGCTCGTAGATACTGGCTATATTTAAGATGGGAGACACAAGTGGGAGGTGACTAATACATATCAGCCTGGCATTTTCTACCAGGCCCCAGTTGTAGATTAGATTTGGAAAAGCTCAAAGAGGTGCCATGAGCCTTAAATGGGGTTACAAAGGGTACTACCAGGCCCTTCACGTGGGTACCACAGCTCTGAATGAACCAAGCTCTGAATGTTGACCAAGGATGAATCAGGCACTCTAAACTGCATCTGTCTTGGCAGAGGACCCAGGCTGGCTAGGCCAGAGGCCTTGGGCATGCCAACTCTTACACCTTAGTTCCTTCTGGCTGGCTCCACCACCTCACTGAAATCCCCTGTGGACGTTGGATTAGTGTGTCTATCAGTTGTGCTCTCCTTCTAGTACAATGCTACAGGAAATCAGTCCTGGGGTATCAGGCTACATATTCTCCCGCTTCCCAGAAAGCCCAAGCAGTCTCTGAATTCTGTGCCTCACCATTTTACATGGAACCTCTATGATCAGTGTCTAGAGGGAGGAGAAAGGTTGGACTCCTTGTTTTGGGTGCTTGGGTCACTTATGCTTGATTTCTCACTCTTTATTGAGAATAAGGAAAAAGAGAAGGCCTCTCAATGACAGCAGCAATCTGTCTCTCCCCCATTTTGGGAGATGGGATTGAAAAGCTGCATGTGCACACACCATTAATTAGCACAGAAATCAAAGCCTGGGTCTCCTTATGTTGAGTATATGGGAGGTGTGGCCTGAAAACTGGCCCAAACGACCCTGTGGTTGAGAATGAAAAGCAAGGAATCTCATGTTGGGCTAGGCCCTTAAACTTCTTAATGCTTTCCTTTACCTATGACCACACAACAATTTGAGGATAAACACCTCCCAAAGGCAGCAGGCGGTGGTTCTTAATCTTTTTTTCAGTTCCCGTGACTATTTGAGAACTTGAAGAAAGCATTTACCGTTTCTCTAGAAAAATGTTAATGACAGGGGCGCCTGGGTGTCTCAGTCGGTTAAGCATCTGCCTTCAGCTCAGGTCATGATCCCAGGGTCCTAGGATCGAGCCCCCAGTCGCACCGGGCTCCCTGCTCAGCAGGGAGTCTGCTTCTCCCTCTCCCTCTGCCCCTCCCCCGTGCTCGTGCTCTCTTGCTCTATCAAATAAATAAAATCTTTTAAAAAATGTACACGACAACCAAGTTTTCTTATATGCAAAATTATTCCACACAACCGGTGGGGAGGGGATCATAGAACTCTTGCACCCAGGTTAGGAATCCCAGCTGTAGGGTAAGAGGCAGCTGCATACCTGGGCAGTTTCTCTGGGCTTCCTTCCAGGATCTCTACTTGCCCAACTGTTGGCACACACAGAACATCCCCTTCCTGGACTGCCCTGCAACACAGCAGTGGCCCTGGTCAGCTCACAGTGAGAGTCAAGAGCATGGGCCTGACACATCCCCGCATGTCTACTCCCAACCTGCAGACCATAAGGGCCTACCGCCCACCCAGAGTTTCCAAGCAGTTGTCCAGAGAACACATCTGACCTAGAATGAGCTGGGGGGAATGGCCGAAAGGCTAGAAAGGGGGAATCAGGGAGGAGTGAGGGGCAAAGCAGGATCCTGGCTCTTTGTGGGCCCTCTCATATCAAAGAGGTTTCTCAGTTTAGATTGTCCAGATTCACCTCATGGTACCAATTTCTCTTCTATTGACCACCTACTACACCAAGAGGCATCTAGCCACAACATTGCCTAAAATGCGGCTTTGTAAAGTAAGGCAGAGGCTCTCTGGGACCTGAATCTAAGGCATGGGATAGGAAGAGAGCAAGGGTGAGATGCTATCCTCCTTGAAAGGGGTAAGCAGCTAACCTGGGTGTCTGAAAGTGCCGGTAAAGAACATGGTCATAATTTCCGTTGGTGCTGTAGTGGGGAGAGGACACAATTTCGATGTGTAACTCTTTGGCAAACAGAGGCCCAGGCAGCACTGAGCAGCTTCCTTTGTCTTCAGGGGTGCTGGAGCCTTCCAAGTGCCTCTATTAGAGAAATAAGCACCGCCTTATAACCTTCTCCCAAGGAGTCAAGCTCTGCCCTACCTTAACTTTAGCAGCCAATATTTCTATTTGCATCCTCTAACCACAAGGCCTGTGGGAGGGGAGGCCTAAGGTAGCCAAACTGAATACCTGTATCTTCCCTAGATACAGAAACCTCTCCTTCTCATGGGCACCAGGATTTCTGACTCTAGCTCCAAAAGGTTCCCCAGTACAAATAACCTTTCTGCGATACCTTTAAGTTGACCCTGAGCCAGGAAAGTGGTAAAGACATTTAATTCCCACAAGTCCTTTTGAGTGACACCAGGCAGCAAGTGGAGTTGATATTAATTGGACATTAGTGGGGACACTGAATTCAGGTTGTGGGAAAAGGATATGATCTCACTGAAGCTGAAAGGGTTGGTTCAGCTGAACGAGCTCCAGTCTGAGGACTCCAGTTTTTCCTCCATTTGAAAGGAAACCCACACCTGACTCCCATCCATGCATATCTTATGTCCTTCTTGACATCTTATAGCACTAATTGGCTATTCCAGCATTAGCTAACAGAACTTTCTACAGCGATAGAAATGTTACCTACACGTGCTATTGAGCATTTGACACGTAACTGAAGCAACCGAAGAACCAAGTTTTAAATTTTATTAGTTTTAATTAATTTAAAAAGCCACACTGTGGCTAGTGGCTTCCATATTGGACAGTATAGGTTTAAACCATACATCTAGGTGCCTAATTAAACAGTAGACTATATTTGTGCCCCCAAATACAACGATCTTCTTGAAGTAATCTCCTTAAAGGCAGAAACCAAAAATTTCTCTTCGGTATATTTACTAAAATATTAAAATCAAATACCAGGCACTAAAGATAGTAACAAGCCCTCCCCTTTAAGGAATTTACAATATATAACTGAGGATTAGACAGAGTGCATAATCATAACGGGACAGAAATAAATGCCCTAAGGTACAAAATGCTGTAGGAGAAAGAAGTCATGTTAAATATACAGTAAGATCATGTACGGCTTTGGGAAGAAGGTGGCATCTTTAGATGGGCTTTGAAGGAAAGGATGGTAGGACTTTAACAGATGAGGCTAGAAGAACAGGAAGGAATTTGAAGTCAAGGATAAGCATGAGCAAAAGAAATGACGTTTCATCCTCCATAGTACTCAGAACAATTCGGGATACACTGTAGCAATTCAAACAATTGATTAAGTAGATTAATATACTGTATATACCTGGTAATTTGAGGATGACTGTCTCCTTGAATAGATGAAAGCCCTTCCCATGCACCACTACACCATGGAGGATTTTATTTTGATTATAGAGAATAGATAAATAAGACTAAGAGACATTAAGATCTAAGGAGTAAGGGATCTAAATTCTACAGCTCTCTTCTTCCAATTCAATTGAGATAAGGAAGAGGGAATAGGAGTGGGAGCATTCCTGACCTCAGTCTTGTATCCTACCTGAATTCTGAGCTCTCCCACTTCCAGGGGATCACAGCCGAGATTAAAAGCCAGAGTGGCAGGCACGAGGGCTAGTCCGTCAGCGAGGGGCTCTCCCGGCTGCCCAGAGCCGGGTCCCAGCCTTTCAGACAGGTCCCAGCGAGGCTCTAGGACCCGCACCCTGGCCAAATGTGGCTGGGAAGTGTTCGACGACTCTCCGGCTCGGGTCACCCACACCCATTCGCCCTGGAAGAGGCCCAGGCTACGGAGACAACTCCGGCTAACTCCCAGTGAATCTCCAGTCCCTCCCAGAACTCCCCGGAGTCGCCGGACTGTGCGGTTAACCGCGAAGGAGGACACCACGGGTGGGGGTGGGGGCCGGCTGCTGTCCTCAGCCTCCTGACCCAGTTTGGCCCGCCCACGGAGCTCAGTCACAGCTAGCCGCGTCCCTGGGCCCAGCAGCCCTTGCAACGCCGGCCGCGTCTCCAGCACCCGCGGTCCGGGCACTGGCAGGGCCTCTCCGCGCCGCACCAGCAGCGGCCCGACTCGCGGTCCCAGCCCGGGCCCCGGCGGGGTCCCAAGCAGCGCCCAGCCCAGCGCCGGAGGGCGCCGCACGGGCCGCGCCCGCACCCACGCCCCGGAGCCCAGAGCCAAGAGCCGCAGCAGCGCGCGGCTAACCAGCAGCTGCGGGGGCCCTGGACCCTGCTCTTCGGTCTCCGCGCCCGGCCCCTCCAGGGCAGCCACTAGCAGCGCCGGCCCTGCGGGGCTCTCCTCTGCGGGCCGCAGGGCCAGCACCAGGCCCAGCCCCGCCGCAGGCCACGGGCCCCCGGGGGGCAGCAGCACCGCCAACGGGGGTGCCTCGGTCGGGAAGGGCTCCAGGACCCGCAAGACGGCCAGCGCCATTGTGACAGGAGACCAACGAGGAAGACGAAGGAGAGCGGCTTCCGGAGCCAGACCGCAGCAGGCCGTTTCCGCTTCCGTCCGGGGAGGTGCAAGGAGAGCGGGCGGGGCGGCGGGTGCCTGGTGCGTGCTCCTGGAGGGCGAGCGGCGGCTCAGATCGGCGGGTTGGTTCGTCGGTGGCCGTAACGCGTTCACGGCCGCTGCGCAGTCTTTTGAGACTGTGTTTGCGCGGATCTGCCTTCCGCGCCTGCTAGGGGAGTAACGTCCTCTCAACTGCCCTGCCATGCACGTAACAGTTAATTTAATGATCAACGAACCGTCAGCGTGCCCAGGACCAGGGCTGGGAGCTATGGGTGGAGTGTTGAGGAAGAAGTAGTCCAGTCCTTTGTGAACTCCTACCGTTTCCACGGTGGAACTGTAGGCACTGAGGTTTGGGGGTTGTGGGGAAGGTTGCAGGAGGGAGTGGTAGGATAAAACTGTCTCAGACATGCTTATGGGTATGTAGTGGCTGCCGGCTGGATTACTACATGTGATTCATGTAGCCCTGGAGTACTTGGTGCTACCACACCTGTTCCAACACATCCTACACAAAACCCACGTCCCAGTGTTTCTTGTCCTGTTTATTGTCCTGTTTGTCCTACTCCCACCAAACGTGGAGCGAAGACAAAGCAGCTTCGCTTTTTCATCCCTCCAAAACCAGTTGCTCTCCCCGCCCCACGAATCCTTGCAAACTGGAGACCCACGTCCTGTTTCTACTCTACGGGGTGAGGGGGATGTGTGTTTCCGGGAGGGGGCAGTAGAGCAGGCAGAAGAGAGGGGTTCAAGGCTTCAGTCATGAGCACTAACCAACAGCTTGCTTCCCAACTTTGCTGTTATTTAGATTCCATCCTTGTGTCCACCTCCACTGCTCTGGGCAAGACACTTGGACACTGGCAGGCCACACTTCCAGTTACTAACAACAACAAAAAAATATTTGCACTTAGAATCGGTGGATTGGTTGGTGGTAATCTACGCTTTCTGGACCTTGCATTCTCCAAACACTGCCTAACTCTCCTTCACAGCTGAACAACATGAGTTGTTCAGTCTTCTACTTTGTACGTTTTGAATTCCTGAAAATTTCCTGAAAATCTGAGAGTTGAATACTAGATTTACATGTTAGAAGGTATTTCTATTCCTAGCAAGACAAGAAGGTATTTTTTATGTATTCATGTATTTTTAATTTTTTTAAGATTTTTAAAAATTTATTAGAGAGAGCAAGTGAGCAGAAGCAGGGGTGTGGCAGAGGCAGAGGGAGAAGCCGGCTCCCCGCTGAGCAGAGAGCCCAATGTGGGGCTCCATCCCAGGACCCTGGGATCAGGACCTGAGCCGAAGGCAGACGCTTAACGACTGAGCCAGCTAGGCGCCCCTATTGTTTATTTTTTAAGTAAGCTCCATACTGGGGCTTGAACTCATGACCTTGAGATCAAAGCCTGAGCTGAGATCAAGAGTCAGATGCCCACCCAGGCCCTCCAAGAAAATATTTTTTAGGGGCACCTGGGTGGCTCAGTCATTAAGCGTCTGCCTTCCGCTCAGGTCATGGTCCCAGGGTCCTGGGATCGAGCCCTGCGTCGGGCTCCCTGCTCCGCGGGAAGCCTGCTTCTCCCTCTCCCATTCCCACTGCTTGTGTTCCCTCTCTCGCTGTGTCTCTGTCAAATAAATAAATAAAATCTTTAAAAAAGATATTTTTTAAATGTCTGATTATAGTTCCTGGAGTATATCTAGTCTTAAACTTGAAATTGCCCAGTTCTACTTTTTGTTTGTTTTTTGTTTTGCGAGAGAGAGAGCACAGGCACGCTTGAGGTGGGGACAGAGGGAGAGGGAGAGAATCTTTTTTTTTTTTTAAAGATTTTATTTATTTATTTGACAGAGACAGCGAGAGCAGGAACACAAGCAGGGGGAGTGGGAGAGGGAGAAGCAGGCTTCCTGCTAGGCAGGGAGCCCGATGTGGGACTCGATCCCAGGACCCTGGGATCATGACCCGAGCTGAAGGCAGACGCTTAATGACTGAGCCACCCAGGCGCCCAGAGGGAGAGAGTCTTAAGCAAACTCAACACTGAGTGTGGATCCCAATGTGGGGTTCCATCTTACAATGCTGAAATCATGACCTGACCTGAGCCGAAATCAAGAGTTGGACACTTAATCAACTGAGCAAGTCAGGCAGTCCTCTACTTTTTTTTTTTTTTAAGTAATCTCTCTGCCCAGCATGGGGCTGGAACTCACAACCCAAGATCAAGAGTCACGTGCTCCCCTGACTTAGCCAGGCTCCTCCTCTAGTTCCACATCTTTAAAAGAGCATGCAAAAATATACTAGGGACCTGAATTCATATGGATGAAAGTTCCCATTTGGTAGTTCTGAACTGTATTATGTGGCTCTGTCCCCTTGCTTCCCAGAGGGACCAAGGTTTGGGAGGATGGTGGTGTGAGTCCTAAAAGGATATGCCTGCTTTACATAGGCAAGTTCTAGGCCTCAGGACTACAGTGCTCCTTGAGGGCTTGGGAATGGGTAAATAAATCTGGTCTCCTGTCTACTTCAGCACCCATATAGACACAAATATCCATCCACAAATTATCCTTCCTTCCCAGGCTTTTCCTCCAGCAAATAACGGTTGGGATACAGTCTGCTTTGTGTTACTTTGAAATTGTCATTAATCACTGGGAGCCAAATACTATTTCCATAAGATAAGAGCCTACATTTGTTGCCTTTACTTTCCTACCTCTTGCTCACTCTTCAACCCATTATAACCTTCCTTCCACTTCTCTAGAACTTTCCTGCAAAGATCATCTACAACTACAGAATCAAGGTGGTGTTGTTTGATCTTTACCTTGTTCAATCATTCCCTGGAATCTGTCACTATTGACCAATCCTCTTTTACTTCCTTCGCCATCACGACACCAGTTTTCCTCCTACACCTCTGATGGCTCCAGAAGTCATCTTCAACTCCTCCCTTTCCCTTCCCATCTTCCCCACAATTCAGTGAATCACCAAATCCTGTGGCTTCTACACATTTCTTAATTCTATCTTTTCTTCTCCCTGCCATGGCCTTTGTCTTATAACGTTGCTGTCCTGGTCAAGGGCCACAGGCTTTTTCTTGAGCCTTCTCCAGTTTCTTCGTATAGTCAATAGTCTAATGGAGTCAACTTTTTTTTTTAAGATTTATTTATTTTAGAGAGAATGAGAGAGAGCGTGAACAGGGGGAGGGGCAGAGGGAGAGGGAGAAAGAGAGTCTTAAGCAGACGCCAGGCTGAGCATGGACCCCACCACGGGACTCAATCTCCTGACCCTGAGATCATGACCTGAGCTGAAACCAAGAGTCAGACGCTCAACCAACTGAGCTACCCAAGTGCCCCCCCAAGTTGGATTTTTTTTTAAAGATTTTATTTATTTATTTGTCAGAGAGAGAGCACAAGCAGGGGGAATGGCAGGCAGAGGGAGAGGCAGGCTCCCTGCTGAGCAAGGAGCGGGACCTGGGACCCTGGGGTCATGACCTAAGGCGAAGGCAGGTGCTTAACCGACTGAGCCATCCAGAGGTTCCTTGACATTTTTTTGGTAAGATTTTATTTCTTTGAGAGACAGCAGCTCTTGAGCATGAGTGGGGGTAGGGGCAGAGGCAGAGGGGAGCCAGCCAGAGGCTGGGCTCCATCCCAGGACCCTGGGATCATGACCTGTGCCAAAGGCAGAAGCTTAACTGACTGAGCCACCGGTGGGGGGCGGGGGGGGGGCCTGGAGTTGACTTTCTGAAACATATTCCTTCAGCCACCTCTAGGTTTGTGTAATTCATTACATTGTATCTTAAGCATCTGTTTATACAAGTCTTTGAACTTCACCAGACAGTGAACTCCCTGAGGCAGGAAATAATCTTATTCATTAGGACATTGGCTTGGGCAGGGTGGAAGTAAGGGATGCATATCCTAAAACACTCAACAATGAGGTAGCTTTTCACTGTATTCCCAAGTGTTTCAATCTACTGGTTTCCCAATCCCACGGCACTTGCAATAGGACCTGGGACCCTCTTTCCAAAATTGTAACAAACCCAGAATTTTCACCTCATCTCACCAAGGTCCCCGCCAGCCAGCCTTCCCCTTTCATTCTCTGTACGCCCCGTCTAGGAAACGGATGCCGTGGAGGACTATTGGGAGCTCTCTCCACCAATTTTGCATATGCAATTAGTGCTAAGTTACCCTGATAAAGAAAGGTACCCTTCATTTTAGGGCTTCTTTCCTTCCATTCGGGCTGGGCCAAGGAGCAGAGCAGGGAAAAGTGTGAGCGCCACTTTAGGAGGGAACGGGTCTGCGAAGAATGGCCGAGGCCGACGCACACCAGACGCCGGAGTGCGGCAGTGGGTGCTAAACTGGGGCTTCCCCTTATCCCCGCCTCCTTTGTTAAGCTCGACCCACTTTAGGGCGGGACCTCCCACTTCAACCAATTCTGGGAGACGAACCCTGGCGGTTTGTACTCTTCCTTTCCAATGAGAAAAAAAGGAAGCGGCTTGGCTCCAATAACCAATCCGAGGAGGCGGCGCCTGGTTGTCAGGCAGGTTTGTAAGAGTTCGGGCCAATTGGAGGCGCAATCACCGCTCGACCCGGGCGCAGCGCGCAGGCGGTGGCGAGGAGACGCCGAGCGGGCCGAGTGCGGCCGAGCAAAGCCGGAGCCGGAGCGGGGCCGCAGGAGCCGGGCTGGGTCCGGACGGGCCGAGATGCCCTATAAACTGAAGAAGGAGAAGGTGAGTGTGGCCGTTTCCTCGCGCCTCCGCCTTGGGGCCTGCGCGGAGCTCTGGGAGAGGCCGAGCCAGGCCCGGGACAGCCCCAGACTGACCCTCCCGTCCGGCCCCCGCAGGACTCCCAGGGCCGGCCCTCCGCCCCCGCTGCTGGCCGCACCCCCAATCTGTGCCGCAGCTGGGAAGGCTTCCTCACCTTGCCCGGGATGGAGTCCCCCGCGTACACCTCCATCCTTTCCTCCCTTCATCTACCCCCGGCCCTGGGTAACCACCTCCGTCCAGATCTGCCCCACTC